AGGCCGTGTTCCTTTCTGTAGAGCCCAGAGGAGAGTCTGTTCTTTGTCTCAGCTTCTAGACACTGCCCGCTTTCCTTGGCTCGTGGCCCCTTCCATCGTCAAAGCCAGCACTGGCCAGTTGTGTCTTTCTCACAGCGTTTCATCACTCTGATGCACTCTCCTGCCTTTCTCTTCCATCTTTTAAGGACTCTGATGGTTGCATGGGGCCCCCAGAGAGTCCAGGAAAATCTTCCCACCTCAAAGGAAGCTGGTTAGCAACCTTATTTCCATCTGTAACCGTGATTCCTGCTTGCCAGAGAAGCTAAGATAGTCACCGCTTCCAGGAGTCAGAATAAGCACACAGACAGCTCTTGGCCAGGGCTGGGTAGGGGTGGGGGAGTGTCTACCTGCACTGACACTCACGGCTGGAGTGGTGTGCAGCTTCAGCAAGGGGGTGGGCGCTGGGTGCTGAGCACAGGGGATACCAGCCCGCAGGCTTTGCTATGTCCCTGCTCGCCGGGCCCTCCTGCCCCGTCCAGCCCAGCCGGGTCAGAGCTCCCCCTCCTGCTCCCTAGTGATCATCAGCTCGGCCTTGGTGCTCTGATACCACCCGTCACCCATCTGGGAGCCCCATCCCTGACCCCTGTCTCTGTCTGGTTGGCCGGCAATTTCTCCATCCATCATCCTGTAGCCGGGAGAGCCTGCCTCCAACTTGGGCCTCCTAGCGCCACCTGTCGGTCACCTGGGTGAATGGCACCCCTGGGATCACCCTGCATCCTTGCCCTTCCTCTTCACCACACTCCCGTCCCACAGCAAGAGTCCCCTCAGCTCTCTCTCCAAAGCCCACCCCAGCTCCTTCTGACTCTCCAGACCCCCCCACTGCTCCAAACCTCGGTGGCCTCTTTCCAGGGACAGGCCTCTTTCCATCTCCCGAGGATGGCCCGCCCAGCGCGCCTGTCGCCGGCTGACCCCACACACACTCGTCTTCTCCCACCTCCCCCTCGCTCACTCCGCCTGGCCTCTTGTCCTTGACTTTGCTGTCTGGCCATCCAGTCCCGTCCCCAGGTCAGGAGCAAGCTCTTCTAGCTCCACCCGAGACACTTCTCCCCAGGTCCTCCCAGGGCTGGCTCTGCCCCAGGGCCCCCTCCCCTGAGAAGCCCTCCTGGGTCCCTCCAGCCAACGTTGGCCCCCGCCCCCACCCCGCTCATCTCCCATCGGTCACCTAGCTCTGTTTCCATCACAACACTCATTACATCCTGAAGTGATCTGTGTGCTTATTTAGAGACTAGCACGTCACCTCTGTAAGGACAGGACTGGGTCTGCCCTGCCCTCTGCTGTGCCTCCAGGCCTGGCCCAGTCCTACGCGTGGCAGTGTTGGATGGATGAATGAGTGACAGCTCCCTCAGGACTTCTCATTCCCACCATCGGAGCCCCTTTCTTAAACAGCTTCCCCTCCCTAAGTAGATATATAGACCCTAAGAGGCAAAATCACTAGATCCCACCATGCTCACAAACCTAACAGCAGTGGGAAAAAATTTTTTTTTTTAATTTTAAAAGATCAGCTTTTTCATGAGGATATCAGACTGGGTGAAAAGTAGCTTTCTTTTCCAGAAGCAGGACTTTGGAGCCTGTTTGACCTATGAACCTTACCAGAGACTCTAGCAGGCAAAACTGTTACCTGCACCCCCATCAGGTGGACAACCCCAAGACCAAAAGCTCAGGGCAACCATGCCCCTCCCTTGTTTAGCAAATTCAGCATCTGAGCCTCCCCCGGGTCCTCTGGCCCTCCGTGTACAAGCAGCCTGCACGAAGCATCTTTTTCTCTCCTCTCCACATTTGTCTCTGAGATAGGACAACTTTCCATGAAGGAGGCTGAGGCTTTGACTCACAGCTGATACAGATCACGAGAGAAAAAATGAGGAATTGCTAATTGGGGGAGCTTCTTTCTGCTGGAGGGAAAGCGAGGAGGGTTGAAAGAAAAAATTCTGCAAGAAAAGAGGTGATTACAGACGTGGGGTTTCACAAGCGCTCTCCAGAGCTTACAGGATGAGAGGAAGGTTCCCATGCCTCCATCACTATTCTTGCCAAACGGAATGTCGTTTTCCCTCTTGTCTTTGGTGGCAAAGATAAAGCAGCATAGCTGAAAAGCTGTGGCACTAAAAGCCATCTTCCTCCTCCAAGGGATTCTGGCAGGCTCTGCCTGAGGAGACGAGTTCCAATTTTAGGTGACGTTAAAAACACGCTTAACGCTTTAAAGTCAAATCATGTTTTTTCAAACTCAGGTGTACCCTAGTTTTCCAAAAGTTGAGCTGAGAAACGATAGTATGCCCCAAAGATAAAGGCATGGAGTGATGATTTGCATTTGTGAAAGAATTTTTGTTAGGAAGGTGCCCCTCTCAGATGTGGAAACCTCCATGGCTCCTGTTAAACACTGCTTCGCATCCACGCGGGGCTGTGTGTATATGTGTGCACCTGCGTGTGTTTCCCCTGAACATGCCCATAGCATGGATGGCCACTCAGGTATCAGAAACGGGTCTCCATTTGGAATTGATAGACTTGGCTGGTACCATGTGCATCCATGGGTGATTGACCTGGGGCAGGGGGGAGTGATGGTGAATTTTAAAAGCAAAGGATTAGAACTTCCCTGGTGATCCAGTGGTTTAGACACTGCACTCCCAATGCGGGGAGTCCAGGTTCCATCCCTGGTCGGGGAACTAGATCCCCCATGCCACAAATAAGACCCGGTGCAGTCCAAGCAAAAAGAAAAACTGTAACAGCCAAGTATGACAGACTCCTACTACACTACTTTTCCCCGGATCAGCTTAATTCTGGAGAGCTCTGTTGCTGTCATCTAGGGGTGTCAAATTCAAGTGCCCACAGTGACCAGGAAGGAAACATACATAAGGGAAGTAAAGTGGGTGTCAGGAAGACAACAGGGAGAGGTGGGGATGATGGTGGATCGTAACATGCCTGCCCTGCCTAAAGGGGGCAGGCATTTCTCAGCTGGAATCTGGAGCAAAGGTTGCAGATAATCTGATTCCCCCCCCCCAAAACAAACATATATGATTTTTTTTATTGTAGTGGTTTTTTACCATACATTGACATGAGTCAGCCAATGTCTCCATTTTTCAAAATCTTCTCCAAGTCAGGCAAAATATCTGTGAACTAAATGCAGCCCATGAGCTGTGACTGCATAAGCAATCTGATTCTAATGGCACAAACCCTTAGCTTTGTAGGACGGGGGAGGAAGAAGTCTGTATAAGCTGAGATTTCTACCTTGGTTTCCCGGAAGTGCCCTCATCAGGTTGGCCTCACCAACAGGAAATGTGCTTATTTGTTGAGCATTTCTTGGAGCATTTATGTTGCTGAGTACAGAGATTCAGAAATGAGTAGAGCACATTCTTCCCCCAGGGAGCAAGCAGTCTACGGAAGGAGCCAGGCTTGCACCAGATCATTCTGAAACGGGTGGCAAGCGTGGCAAAAATAAACGGGGGTGAGTGGGGATGACACTTGATTTAGCTGGAAGAGCAAGGAGGACGTCCTGGAGGAGTGAGCGAGGCTGTCCAGCTCAGTCCTGAGTCCCCGAGATAACTTTTGCTGACCCATGAGCAAAATATGTCGCTGTCATGACAACTGTACATTTCTTGGACATTCCCTCTGATTTATGGCAAGTGATGTGTTTTCCATGCCTGGAACGAATACACGCGGTCCCTTTGAATTTAATACTTGTAATAATAATGAACAGTGGGAGTTCCCTGGTTGCCTAGTGGTTAGGATTCCACATTTTCATTGCCATGGCCCGGGTTCGATCCCTGGTCAGGAAACTGAGATCCCACAAGCCACACGGCGCAACCAAACAATAAAATAAAACAGAATAATAATAAAGTAATAAAAAAAATAGTAGACAGCAAGTATTGAGTACCTACCATGTCCCACATACTGTGTTCAGTGGTCTTGGGTACATAATTCACTGAATCTTCTCAGTAATCCTATAAGGTAGATCGTATGGTTATACCCATTTTACAGATGAGGACATTCAACATCAAAGTTGAAAATGTGCTCAGGCTCCAAATCTACGCTCATAACCACCACAGCAGAGCCTCTCCTCCTCGCATTATGGACATGGGGGGCAGGATAATTCTCTGTTGTGGTATCTGACCATAGGACTTTTAGTAGCATCCTTGCTCGATGCCAGTAGCATCCCCTAGTCGCGACAATCAAAAATGCCTTCAGACATTTCTGTCTGTCCCCTGGTGACAAAATCAGGCCTGGTTGATTTTGGTCCACACTAAACTACCTTTACAAGTTAAATAAATATCCCCCAAAGTTGGACAAACTTAGAGCGTTAAGTAAGTCACAGTACCGTGTAGGCTGTCAGCTCCGTGGGGTTGGGGGCCACACCTGATTATGCATGGCTGCAAACTCCCAGGGCTTGAAACCTCTGGCTTACAGTAGCACTCAGGGCATTTTTATGGTGTAAATAATGTGGATACGGGGGAATGGTGAAGTTTAGGAGATGCTGAACCATAGAGTGGGTCTTCTGACTCTTGAGTATCTTCCCTCAAGCTGCTGTAACAGAGTATCTAGACCAGGGGGCTTAAATAACAGACATGGGTTGCTCTCCATCTGGGGGTCTGGGAGTCTGAGGTCAGGCCGGGTTCTGAGGAGGGCTGCTTTCCTAACTTGCAGCTTGGGTGCCTTCTCACCAGGCCCTCACTCGGTGGAGAGAGAGGAGGCCCTGGTGTCTCTTCCTCTCCTTATCAGGGCACTAATCTCACCCTGGGGGCTCCACCCTCCTGACCTCATCTCAGCCTGATGACCTCCTGAAGACCCCACGTCTTAACACCTTCCAGCTGGAGGTTAGGGCCTCCCCCTATGAATCAGGGGGAACACAATGCGGTCCATATCGGCAATTAGCTGCAGGATCCGCATTGTCCCCGGAGACTTGGGAGTCACTGAGGTTCTTTCCTCCCCTTTCCCCTACCCCACCCCCAGGCCAGAGAGGGATGTGAAAGCTCAAAATGACCCTCCTACCGGGAGACAATTCTGATTACGACTACAGCGCCCTGAGCTGCACGTCGGATGCTTCCTTCCATCCGGCCTTCTTTCCCCAAAGCCAGTCCCTCAAGGGTGTCTTCTACCGCCGGGCCCAGCGGCTGCGGCCGCAGGACGAGCCCCGGCAGGGCGGCCAGCCCGAGGACCGCAGGCGGCGGATCATCATCAACGTGGGTGGCATCAAGTACTCGCTGCCCTGGACCACGCTGGAGGAGTTCCCGCTGACGCGGCTGGGCCAGCTCAAGGCCTGCACCAACTTCGACGACATCCTCAATGTGTGCGATGACTACGATGTCAGCTGCAACGAGTTCTTCTTCGACCGCAACCCGGGCGCCTTCGGCACCATCCTGACCTTCCTACGCGCGGGCAAGCTGCGGCTGCTGCGGGAGATGTGCGCCCTGTCCTTCCAGGAGGAGCTGCTCTACTGGGGCATCGCCGAGGACCACCTGGATGGCTGCTGCAAGCGCCGCTACCTGCAGAAGATCCAGGAGTTCGCCGACACGGTGGAGCGGGAGGACGAGGACGACGCCCTGGACAGTGAGGACCCCGGCAGCGAGGGCCCCGTGGAGGAAGAGGGCCGCCTGGGCCGCTGCATGCGGCGGCTGCGTGATATGGTGGAGAGGCCGCACTCGGGGCTGCCCGGCAAGGTGTTCGCCTGCCTGTCGGTGCTGTTTGTCACGGTCACCGCCGTCAACCTCTCCATCAGCACCCTGCCCAGCCTGAGGGAGGAGGAGGAGCAGGTAAGGGCCCCGCCCCTGCCCTGGGGGAGGGCGGGGCTGCTGCCGCAGGCACCACTCCCCGCCCGGAAGGGCACGTCCTTCTCTGCCTGCCCAGTCGCCTCCTCCAGGAAGCCTTCCCTGACCGCACTGGCTCAGTAGCATCCCACTCCATCGTTGTGTTTACGTGTGTTTACAAAAGTGTCTACCTATGTGTCGTCCTCCTCCACATGCAGACCTGAGCTCCACAGCCTGTTCATCCGCGCTGTGCCCCCTGCCGACGGCAACACTGTCCAGCATGGGAGAGGCGCTCAGCCACTCTGTTGAATGAATGGATGGATGGATGATGACGCGATGTATGATGTGCCTGGCCCCAAGCTGAGCACTTGACGTGCACCACCAAAATTTGTTTCATTAGCTTGCATTCTTTCTCAGCCTTCCCAATTCCCTTACATGAAAAGATCCCAGAAAGCTCTTTGGGGTCCTGAATATGATGTTCACTGATAGATGTGTGTGCGCAGGCAACCTCAAATAGTAAGCATTGCTTTCTGTTAAAGAAGGGAGTTCCCATACGTGTTTACTCCAGGGCATGATGGGGTGCGTGCCCAGTTCTCAGGGATACCACTTACTTACCGGCGGCTAATGAGAGCAAAGGGCTGGGCTGCGGCTCTGCCTGTCTCTTATCTCCCCAGCAAATCTTCCAGCATCCCGGTATGGGAGTTGTTCCCACACCACTTGACAGCTGAGAACACGGAGGAAAAGCAGCTCCCCCAGATGCAGGTCTAACTGAGTCTGCAGTTTGGGTTCTTATCATGGAAGTATGGGTCCCACGTGGCAGCCTGGGCCCTCAGGCAGCCCCTCAGGTCAGCCTCCGTCTGTATGAGACCCATCTCTGGGACCCTCTCCCCACACGCAGGGGTTCCAGAGTCAAGAATCAAGACAGACTGGAACGTTCAGACAGGTGGAACTTGTGTAGGCACTGGAGAAATAGGTATGGCAGTATGAACTGAACATAAATATCATGCCAGCCAGCATTTACTGAGCACCGGCTGTGTACCGTGTATGTGCTAGGGGTTTTATGTGAACACTCTGAGTTAACATTAAAACCACTCACCATGTGAGGGTTTTTCCACACACACATATTGTGGGGAAAGTGGCAATAGTGTTACATTTATAACTCTCGGGGAGTTTCTGACACTTCTTTTTGAATACACTGAGTTTTAAAAACCAGTGTTAGGAAAATACTCAATCAGTAAAATGAACTCTTAATTAGTAAAGTGAACACTTGCGATGCGTGAGGGGTAGTGATGAACCAGGCAGCGTTAGAGCCGGGCGGCCTGAACGTGAGTCCCACCTCGTACACTCCGGCTGTGCTTCTGTAGACAAGTCACTCAGCCTCTCTGTGCCTCCGTTTCCTGACATGTCGAAGAGGTGAACAGGCCCAGCTCACAGCGCTGGGAGGGTCCAGTGAGTGAGAAGTGACTGGAACAGCACCTGGCATTGCACATTCAGGCATCACTATGAGGATTATACGCCCCTCCCAAAAAAGAGCAAGTGCGTGTCACTGGAGACCTGTCTGGAAGCACCCACACTTAGTGTTGATTTCTTCTTGGCCCCAACACCCGCAATGCTGATTTTATCAGGAAAATACTAATAAAGCCACAATTTTATTCAACTTCTGATACTGCTTAAAAAAAAGATACCCAGCCTTTTTCACGACTCAGTGAAAAGGTTGTTCTTCAGTTTCATTTGGGGGACCAGTGGGTTTCACTGTCTCACCCGAGCAGCGTTTGAGTGCCTCCTGTATTCAGGCTCCATGGGGCAGTCAGGGTGACCACAGTGAGTCTCCAGCTTCAGGGCGCATCAAGCCTCGGTCACAGCCCCGTGACCGTAAGTATGGGGCAGAAGCCAAGAGGGCTCTTATGAGAGGCCCACCAGCCGTGCTGGGGATACGTGGACAGATGCACTCCAGGAAGGCTTCCCAGAGGAGGGAGCTTCCTGTCCCAGAAGTCTGAGACTTCCAAGCCTCACCAAGTATCAGTTCATCTCTCCAGCTTCTCACGTATTCCCAGAGAAAGAGCGAGTGTGGCGAGTCTGATAGAACCCGGCTGTGCCCCAGAACTGACAAGATACCCCAGGTAGAACCATTTATGCCTTCCCCTCTGTCAAGCCCCTTTGAGGTTGAGGTCTAAACTGGGGACAGTCCACCACACTGCAGATCAGAGCAGGAACCTGACAGCCTGCGTGGCAAATGCACAGATGTGTCTGAATGAAATGTGGAGTGCTTTCTTTGTAGCGAATTGTCACAACATTTAAAACCCAGGAGATTCCATGTAAAACTCCAAGTTTCCAGCCTCTCTTTAAAAAAAATGGGTGAGGCAGCCTCAAGACTGAGTTGGCCTGGGGCAGCCCTCGGGGGTGCCGAGCAGGATGGCCAGGCCCCCCCAGCGGGCCTGCACCCAACCTGGGCCACCTCCCCTGGTTCCCCTTGGCCTGCCTGGCCTTCACTTGGCACGCTGTCTAAAGACAGGCCAGTGCTCTGCCATCCATCCTGGCAACAGATCATCCTGGTAACCGATCACCTGCCCTGGCCCTGGGGCCTGAGAGTGAGCAATACACAAACCGTCCTGTAGGCCTACAGTCTTCCGGAGCAGGGCAGGCGGGTGAGCGGGGCTGAGACCGACCGTAAAAACAGTAAATAAGTAACTTACAAAACATATTTTGGAGGCGGGCATGGCAACCCACTCCAGTCTTCTTGCCTGGAGAATCCCACGGACAGGGGAGCCTGGCGGGCTACAGCCATAGGGTCGCAAAGAGCCGACACGACTGAAGCAGCTGAGTATGCATACACCCTTGGTGGAATTCATATTGCAATCAGTAAACGTGTCAGATCAGCTCACTATGCCTTGTATTTGTTATATGTCAGCTACATCTCAATAAAAATAAATTTTATGAAGAAAGAAGTCAGGAGCTCCTTTGGGGATGTGATGAGTTTGAGACACCTATCAGACGCCCCAAGAGGCAACTGGTCCGGAGTCTGGAGTTCAGCAGGGAGGTCTGGACTGCAGAGAGATTAGGGATAGTCAGGGTTGAGAAGGTGCTTCAAGCTCCAGGTTTGCACAGGATTGCCCAGGCAGTGGGCATAACCGGAGAGAGGGGACCCAGGGACAGGCATCGCACCCAGACCACCTTGGCCCAGGTAGCACCCCCCCAGGACGGAGCCCCGCGCTCCTGGCTGGTGGGACCGCTGACCTCCCCCCCCCCACCCCAACCCCCGCTCTCTCTTCCAGGGCCGGTGCTCCCAGATGTGCCGCAACATCTTCATCGTGGAGTCGGTGTGCGTGGGCTGGTTCTCCCTCGAGTTCCTCCTGCGGCTCATCCAGGCGCCCAGCAAGTTCGCCTTCCTGCGGAGCCCGCTGACGCTGATCGACATGGTGGCCATCCTGCCCTACTACGTCACCCTGCTGGTGGACGGCGCCTCCTCGGGCCGCCGCAAGCCCGGCGCGGGCAACAGCTACCTGGACAAGGTGGGGCTGGCACTGCGGGTCTTGAGGGCGCTGCGCATCCTCTACGTCATGCGCCTCGCGCGCCACTCGCTGGGGCTGCAGACGCTGGGGCTCACGGCCCGCCGCTGCACCCGCGAGTTCGGGCTTCTGCTGCTCTTCCTCTGCGTGGCCATCGCGCTCTTCGCCCCGCTCCTCTACGTCATCGAGAACGAGATGGCCGACAGCCCCGAGTTCACCAGCATCCCTGCCTGCTACTGGTGGGCCGTCATCACCATGACGACCGTGGGCTATGGCGACATGGTACCCAGGAGCACGCCCGGCCAGGTGGTGGCGCTCAGCAGCATCCTCAGCGGCATCCTCCTCATGGCCTTCCCGGTGACCTCCATCTTCCACACCTTCTCCCGCTCCTACCTGGAGCTCAAGCAGGAGCAGGAGAGGGTGATGTTCCGCAGGACCCAGTTTCTCATCAAGACGAAGTCGCAGCTGAGCAGCATGTCCCAGGACAGTGACATCTTGTTTGGAAGTGCCTCCTCGGACACCAGAGACAATAACTGAGCCCAGACGATGCACCTCGCCAACACCGCCACCGCCAGGACGCGCCCCCCGCCCCCAGCCCTGCCCGCCCTCTGAGGCTTGACGCTATCGCCATTGCTGCAGAAGCCTCCAAAGGCACGTGCTGCTTCTGAGCGCGGCCCTGGCCTGGGACGGACTGAGCCACGCCCCAGGGAAGATGGCCCCACCCCGGCAGGGGGTCCCTGGTCCCCCACGTCCAGAAGCCAAGCCCAGCACACAACCCTGATGGTCCCTCCGGCCCAGGCCCCCACGCCTGTTCCCTAGTGAGGAGATGGCCTGTTCTTTCCACCATGTAAATAACATGCCCAGCAAAGACTCGCTTTGTGGGGCCGCCTAGGGGACAATACAAACAGCAGCTTAAAGTCTGTCTTGAGTGTGGATCGCGTGCAATTAAAGAAAACCGGTGAAAAAGAGAAGAAAGCCTTCCCTGGGGCTCTGTGAAGAGAGGAAATGGCACTATCCAGTAAGCCAGCCAGTGTGGTACCAGAAGTATTGGGTTAGCCTTTTTCCTCGGGTCCTTCACACCCGGTGAGGCCCCGTGAGGTTGGCAGAAAGAGACAGGGTAGACCCCTTTGGGAAATTGCTGGTAAATACCACATCCCCTCGCTCTTCTCTCTCTTCGATTCTTCCCCTCTCCGAGGCCCTCCTCCCCACCTTTTTCTTCTCTCCCATCTCCTCTTCTGCACATTAAAGTCTGTTTCTCAAACTTTTCCCTTGAGGCACCCCCAACAGCGAAGTGGACATCGAGTCAGCCCTGCTGACTACGAAGGTGGAGTCACTTCGTTTTATCTTTAAAAATTAGTGTGGGTTTTTTATTCTATGCCACAGTGATCTTAACTTTGGGGGAAGGGGGAATGCTTCAAACCGTTTACTTAAATCTAAATGTAAACCTAGATTGCATTAGATTGATGCTTTGGAAAAATGGACCTCAGTTTTCTGGGCCACCTGAGAGCACAGTCTGAAGCCCTCAAGGGTATCTCTGGGCCCCTCAGAGACCCGCAGAGCACCCACCCGACCGGAACACCTCACCACCTCGTGTAGTGTGGAAGATGCGGGGTAGGGCCTGAGCCCCAGGCCAGCCCACCAGACCCACTGTGCTCTCACGGTTCAGAGGCCTTTGGCGCCAATCTGGGGAGGGGCTTCCCATCCAGGTGGTGGGCACGTGCCTGCTCCACCCTCACTGATGCTGCAGCAGCATCGCTGTCTTCACCCCCTCCCCTGGGCCAGCTGCAGAAAGCAAGCTCTAAGATAAACCTGAGACTTCCCTGGCAGTCCAGTGGTTAAGAATCTGCGCTTCCAGCACAAGGGACACCATGTTCAATCCCTGGCCACGGATCTAAGATCCCAGGCGCCACACAACACAGCCAAAAAATAAAAAAGTAAACAAAGCAACTCTGGCCCCATCACCGTCCCGCCTAAACCCACAGAGGTATCCATCATGCTAAGAATGATGCCCAAATGCCTGGCATTGCCTGGGCCCACCCACCTCTCCAGCCCCGTCTCTCCCATCTGTCTCTCACTCACTCCGCTAAGTCACAGCAGCCTGCAAGCTGCGGTGTAGAGGCACCCAGCCCCTGCCCACCGTGGGCCTTCACACATCAGTCCCTCTGCGGGGAACAGCCTTCCTGGGCAGACTGCGCAGCTGGCTCCGTCCCACCGCCGCCCTGACCCTCGCTGTAGAGGGTCCGCCCCGGCAGCCCCCACCACCGCTGTCTCCCTCACCCAGTCTATCCTCACAGCCGCTGATGGGCCCTGGAACCGCCTCCTTCACTTCTCTGCTCCTCCCTTACGGTCTGTCTCCCGCCCAAGGAGCCCCGTGCGCATGTGGCAGGGACTCAGCCACACGGCTCACGGCGACTCCCAGCACCTAACGCGGGCCCGGAACGCAGCCGGGACTCAGAGGGAAAGAGCAAGGGGAACCAGCAAGGCCGCCGAGAGCAGGAAGGGTTGGACACTGGGGCTTCTGGGCGCCTCTCGCTCTCCCCATCCCCGGGTCTCTCTCTCCCTCTCTGTCTCTCTCTCATTCCCCGGTGGGGAGGTTGGACAAGGGCTCCCTCTGCGCAGTAGACATGCGGGGATGCAGACTGGAAATATCACACCAGTCACGAGAGCCTCGTTAAAGGCTCCCCTGACACCTGCTCCCAGTGACTCACGCCTGAAAAGTAAGTTTTCCTACTAATTAGCTCTACCGTCCCCAGCCCGGTGGGCGTTACAGCGATTGGGCACTGCTGTCACAGTAATAATACCTTAGATTTATGGAATGACCTTTCTCCCCACTCCGAAGTGGCTAAGAGACATGGGAGATAGCTGAAAATGCTAAACAGACAGAAATGGGACACGCGAAGAGATTTAAGACAGAGCCTTTAAAAACTCCAGGGAGAAGCGGGTAAATGGCAGAAACCATCGCAATATTATAAAGCAGTTATCCTCCAATTAAAAATAAATGAATTTAAATTTTAAAGAAAAACTCCGGGGAGGGGAAATGGTGGGGTCTGGGGGAGCCTTGACCGGGCCTCGCTGCGGGGAGAGCTATGCCTCCACCGCTCCGGGGACAGAAGAGGAGCCGGGGTCACTGAAGGTCCAAGTTTCTGGCATCTTCTTGCCCAGATTCTGGTCTCTGCTGGTGGCCAAGGTGGAGACCCAAACATGGGCACCTCTCAAGACCTCCCTTGAGGGACAAAGGAGCCCAAGATACTGACCTTCACGCCCAAAGTGGGCTTAAGGATCCTTGGTCCAAATTAAGAATCCCAAGGCCTCAGGACAGCTAACTAGCCACTTCTAAAACCATCATCAACTTGACCATTGTGGCTTTTCCACTTTTTTTTAGCAATATGAAATCTGATGCAGAAGCCCAGCTATAAATCAGATTAAATGAAAGCCATTCTGATTGAAGTAGGGGCCCAATTCTTCCCCTGACCATAATGGGGGCCTTCCTTTTGACCCCCATACAGGCAACTAACTCCATACAGCCGGGGATGGCAAGTGCCAGTCACTGCTCCGGGGGAAATGGCAAAGCAGAACTTTCCCCAATTTGTCTTAATTTTTTAGGACGCATGGAGATGCCCCCATCTCCAGCTGAGCTTGGCGCTGCCCTAAGACTCACAGTGGGCACTGGGGAAGGTTGATTTCTCGACACAGATTCTTAGGCCCACGTGTGAGCAGGGCTGGGACCTCCCACCCTGGGCACAGAATTTAGGGGAGCAAAAAAAAAAACAAACTTGGTCATCAAGATAAATCATATTTTAATGCAGTAATTTTAAAATCAAGATTAATGTTCTACAAACTCACAGTGACCAACACAAAGATAGGATCTGCCTTTGCACTTGTGTAATTGGACCCACACGCCTCACCTCCTGCCTGGACCCCCAGAATGTCGTGCAGCACAGTTCCAGCCACCCAAGCCCATCTCCCGGGAAGCGCAGGTGGAAGCCCGTAGCCCCTGGCACCGCAGCTGCTGGGCGTGGGCCCCTTCCCCTTGGAGGGGATCGGAATGGCCCCCGACCCTCCTCCCTACCAGAGTGAACATTCCAGAACCAGGCCCCTGTCCTCACGGGGCGTGCACAGCGATGGGGAGAGGGAGAGAAACAGTGAAATGAGAACTGAAAAAAATGCTTGCTGATGGTGAGCACAGGATGACCTGGCAGACAGTGACCGGGGCCAGAGGACAGGCGGAGAGTGGGCCCCAAAGACAGTCGGGGAGGGACTCTCAGAGGAGGTGACTCACAATGAGGACCTGGGGAGTGGGCGGGGCAGCACTCCCAGCAGGCCGGACAGTCAGCACAAAGCCCGGAGGTGGGAGGCCCCAGGCATGTCACCAGCTGTCGAGGGAGCCTGTGGTCCCGGAAACACGGCCCCCCTGGGAGCAGCCTTCCTCCCAGGGAGGATACCCAGGTCTGCACAGCGGACATTCTGAACAAACATTTCCAGAGACCTCACTTGAAGCCCGGCCCTCTCAGAGCAGCTGGGGACAAAACAGAGAAGCAAACCACAGAACTGGACTCAGTCCCTGCCACAGAGGGGCTGCTGGATCCGTGGGGAAAGACATGTGAGAAAAGACTTCTGCAGAGACGGGACGATCCGGGTGCAGGTGCCCAGGGCTGTACCAGCGTGGAGAAAGATGATAGCTGGGAATTCCCTGGCCTTCCAGTGAGTAAGGCTCAGATTGCACTGCTGGGGCCTGGAATCACGCCCTGGTTGGGGAACTAAGATCCTGTAAGCTGCTTGATATGGCAAAAAAAAAAAAAAAAAAAGGCATCAACTAAAGGAAGCATGGTTTACATTCATATTTGCATTTGTTATTAATAAAATGGCCTTACATATATTTTCCTTCAGGAAAAAAAAGACAGTATTCCGCCTAAAAAAAGACAGTGTTCTCCTGTCTCCCCACCCAGTCCTGTTAACGTACACGGGGACTCGCCCACTGAGCCTGCTCCATGGGGCCGGCCCCCGGCCCCTCTCACGTGCATTGCTGCCTGAGCCTCCTCCTCTCTTTTTCTGCATGCCTGCCTCCCCTCCCATCTGCTTTCAGCACAGCAGCAGAGGGGCCCTGTCGGAATGCAAGTCAGATCACACTCACCCGCTGTTCAGAGTGTCCCCCCAACCAGATGACGTCCCATCCCACTCAGTCAAAGCCGGATTCTCTCAGCCCCACCTGCCGGAGCTGGTCTGCCTGGTCTTCTCCTTATCTCTGCTTTTACACCAACCTCTTTACTCAACGAACAGGCCAAACATGGGCCAACCTCAGGGCCTTTGCACTGTTGCTTCTCCTGCCTGGACGGCTCTTCCCTAGGGTACATCCACGTGCCCCCTCTCTCCTCATTAGGGTCTCTGCTCAGACGTCACTTAACAGAGAGGCCTTATCTGACCTCCTGCCGCCAGCCTGCACAAAAGACCACACTCCCAGCATGCCCCAGGGCAGTGATGTTCTGACGCTTGGACACCCAGGGCCTGGCAGACTCTGAGGGGCTGCTCCTCCCAGGATG